CATAATTCCTAGATTGTTTGCAAAATGACACACCTCTGTCAAAACATACACACTTCAGTCAAAAGATATACACATATATGTAAAAATGCTATCAGTTTTCATTTAACCAACACAATCCTCAATGATCAGACACTTGCAGCCAGTTTCACACTGCTGTGATAAATAAAAAACACATTTGTATAAAAGCTATTTTTAGTAAATATCATGTGCTAGATTTTTGACCAGACATTGTTATGTAAGGGATAATTTAGATTTAAAAAATAGTGATTTCTGCAGACTTATATTTCAAGTATTTATTTACAGTATCTCTTACCATAATCTGTTACAGTAATCAACCAACAATGAAATCAATGACAGAAATAAAATCTGTAGACAAATAAAAATTACTGCATAAAGTACATACAGTTTGACTAATGTAAAAGCAACAAGAATACTCTTAGAAGAAATGGTTCTATTTAGAACCAGAAATGGTTCCATCCCCTGCTTTAAATATGGAACTCCAAAATGGCTCTATATAGAACCATTTTTTTGGTAAAAGGTTCTATTGGCCAAGTATGGAACCCCAGGTTTCTATATATAACCCAGAGGAACCCTTTTTAATAGTGTATAGAACCTTTTAGGGGTTCCAAATACGTAGCACTGATAGACCCTTTTAAGGTTCTATAGAACCCTTTCTTCTAAGAGTGTGATTTGTGATTTTTTCCTGAGATTTGGTTGATCTCTTTGTCCAGCTTCCATCAGTGTCAGTCCATGGTTGATAACATGGTCAATAAGTGTTGCACGGATTTCTTGAGTCGAGTTTGGTCCTCATCTTCTTTGTTCAGGTTCTATCAACCCTTCAGGTCCGTCTCTACCTCCTTCTCCTCCTCCTCTATCTCCTTCTCCTCTTCTTCTACCTGGGCCTCCTCCTCTACCTCCTTCTCCTCTTCCTCTACCTCCTTCATCTCCTCTTTGAGCTCCCCCTCTTACGTATTCTCTTCTTCTTCTAGATCCTTCCATTTTTGTTGACAGGTGAACTCAGCTGCTGCCTTTTATAGCACACCTGAGTGCTGCGTTTTCAAATTAGCACATGTGTGCTTCCACACATGGTGGATGTGCATATCCAATTCATTCATTAGTGTGGTCAATGGCAAACTGGGGCTTTGTAATGACAAGGAAGTAACCTCACAATCCTTATCTGTGTCTAAGGTGTGAAGATGTGTGTAGAGTTTTACAAATAACTGTGTATAATATTTTGCAAAAAGGGTGAAGGTGACAACGTGCTTACAATTGTGCAAATGTAGGCTGGTGTTTTGGTCCTTGAGTGTAGGTTTTGCTAATAGTGGGAAAGTTTTAATTTTAGTGTGTAAGCAATTGAAAAAAACTGTATTAACTCGTCTTTATCTTTAGGTCATATTCCAAAAATATTCAAGCTGGCAGAAATAAAACCTCTCATTAAGAAACCGCAATGAGATCCAAATAACTTAGCAAATTACAGACCCATTTCAAATCTTCCATTTATGTCCAAAATACTAGAAAAAGTTGTGTCCGCTCAATTGTGTTCTTTTTTGCAAGAAAATGATATCTATGAAAAATTCCAGTCAGGATTCAGACATCATAGTACAGAAATTGCGCTAGTTAAAATTACAAATGATTTACTTCTAGCTTCTGACCAAGGCTGTACTAGTTCTACTTGATCTTAGCGCTGCGTTCGACTGTTACAGATCATAAAATACTCTTCTAAAATAATCTCTACACTGGTTACCTATTAAGTTCTGTATCAATTACAAAGTACTACTATTGACCTATAAAGCCCTAAATGGTTTAGCTCCTGTGTATTTAATGGACCTTCTTTCACCCTACAATCCACCGCGTTCTTTAAGATCACTAAATTCGAGGCTTCTGGTCATTCCTAGGATATCTAAGTCCACTAAAAGAGGGAGGGCATTCTCGCATTTAGCTCCAAAACTCTGGAATAGCCTTCCCGATACGGTCAGAGGCTCTGACTCACTGTCACAGTTTAAAACTAGATTTAAGACGCATCTCTTTAGTCAAGCATTCACATAATGCTTAACCTTTTATTCCTGTGTTGAATCAGATCAAATGCATTAATACTATAAAACTTGAAACGTCTGTAGATATTTGTATTGGTTGCATAGTATTTACAGTCATTACTTTCCTGTGTGTATTGTGTGGATGACGAGTGGTTGGGCAGATATTGTGTTTTTGCGGTAGATCAACCTGATCTCACAGAATTCCGTGAAATGAACACGGACTCTTAACTCAAAATCCGTTGCAGTTTCACGGATTCGCAAAAAAATCCGTGATTTGCCCACGGAATTGATGCCTATGTAAGTCAATGACAGGCAGCATCCGTGGACTACACACGGGCTTTTACAATACCTGCGCGCTCCCCCAATCGACGTCGTTTTATAATTTGGAAAGATATATTCTGAATTTACTTAAAGTACTTTACTTTACATATTTCATTTTAACTTGATTTTGCATTGTTCTGTCGTCGTTTGATCGCTAGGATAACGTCTGGTCACCCTGAATTCCGTGACCGCACCACGGAATATTCGGTGGTCGCCACAGATCGTTTCACCTAAACTGGACGATATTGCTGCTAATTTTGATACTTTAGGTTGGCTATTCAAGCTGTCTGGGTTTGTGATGCATGTAGTCTAATTAAACTGTGAACTTTTTATCTCCCCTGACCAGTTATAGCCTTTTGCTTATTGACAAATTCTGTGATGGCACCACGGATTTCTTCCGTAATGGGACCACGGGTTTCTTCCGTGAACGTACCACGGAATATTCGGTGGTCGCCACAGATTGTTTCACTTTCACTGGACGAGGTTGCCTATTGCTGATTTTGACACTTTTTAGGCTAATTACAGTTGTCCGTGATTGTGATGCATAGTCTAATTAAACTGTGAACTCCTTATCCCCCTGACCAGTTTCTATAGGCTTTTGCTTTTGACAAATTCTGTGACGGCACCACGGATTTTTCCGTGATGGGCCCACGGGTTTCTTCCGTGACCGTACCACGGAATATTCGGTGGTCGCCACAGATTGTTTCACCTTTACTGGACGATTGCTGAGTTTGACACTAGGCTATTCAAGTTGTCCGTGTTTGTGATGCATGTAGTCTAATTAAACTGTGAACTTTTTATCTCCCCTGACCAGTTATAGCCTTTTGCTTATTGACAAATTCTGTGATGGCACCACGGATTCTTCCGTGATGGGACCACGGGTTTCTTCCGTGACCGTACCACGGAATATTCGGTGGTCGCCACAGATTGTTTCACCTTTACTGGACGATTGCTGAGTTTGACACTAGGCTATTCAAGTTGTCCGTGTTTGTGATGCATGTAGTCTAATTAAACTGTGAACTCCTTATCCCCCCTGACCAGTTTCTATAGGCTTTTGCTTTTTGACAAATTCTGTGACGGCACCACGGATTCTTCCGTGATGGGCCCACGGGTTTCTTCCGTGATCGTACGACGGAATATTCGGTGGTCGCCACAGATTGTTTCACATTTACTGGACGATTGCTGAGTTTGACACTATAGGCTATTCAAGTTGTCCGTGTTTGTGATGCATTTAGTCTAATTAAACGGTGAACTTTTTATCTCCCCTGACCAGTTATAGCCTTTTGCTTATTGACAAATTCTGTGATGGCACCACGGATTCTTCCGTGATGGGACCACGGGTTTCTTCCGTGACCGTACCACGGAATATTCGGTGGTCGCCACAGATTGTTTCACCTTACTGGACGATTGCTGAGTTTGACACTAGGCTATTCAAGTTGTCCGTGTTTGTGATGCATTTAGTCTAATTAAACTGTGAACTTCTTATCCCCCTGATCATTTTGTGTATAACAGTTTTCCACATTGTCAAATTCTGAATCCGTGATGGACACACGGATAGAGGCAGGCTCGATCAATCAAACTCCCCATCCATCATCCTGGTGTCAATAATATTTGGACTAATTTACTTTTCTTTTTTTTCTTTTTTTTTTTACTTTACTTTACTCAATAGACAGATAGGCATATACAGACAACTAAAAAAAATGATAAAGACTTATAATAAATTAATGTTAAATCGGACGTGTTGCCATGACGGCGACCCCACGGCACTTTCGCGGTTTTTCCGTCATTGCGAGGATCCCCTCTACCAATCGGTATGTATCTCAGACCTGCTACTTATTTACTAAATATAACTGTTGAAATATAAGTTTTAATGCGTTTTAGATCGCTTGTATTGTTGATTGCTAAATATTTGACATGATATCGTGTCTGTAAATAGTTGTTTTTCTCTAAAAAAAAAAAGTAGGCCTATGTATTTTTACAAATATTTAAAAGACGTTTTCTCAAAATTATTATTTTTTGTCATACTCCAGTAACGTTACCAACATATCATCCTCTGTAGCACCATGCACACCAGAGAAATATAGTGAAAATCGTTTATTTTTTATTATTATTATTTTTTTTTTGTGATGAAAAGTGAGATGAAAGCATATAACGTTAACGTTAGGCCCTATCCTAACGTTAATCCATCTGATATTCTTTTTCCATCTTGTGTTAACTAAATGAAAAAATAATTTTCCACATGGATTTATCATGTGTTCAGATTTGTTACCGAATTTCAAAAACTTATAATACATTGTTTTTATATAACGTTACTTGTGTAATTAATCAACTGAGGAAGGTTCATGGTGATCATGGTAATAGATTCATTTATTTTTAAAATTTTACCCTATTCACCTTTAGTGTCTCGCATTAATGTAGGCATTACATTTTTTTTTCTCAGAGATATATCTAATTATGCTTTCTTGTCTGTTCTACAGATTATTTGCTGTTTTACATCTTATCTCCATTTCTCTTTCTCAATTTCAGTTATATAAAGAAAACAAAGGCACTTTTAAGAGCCACTCTTTCAATCTCTCTCTCACTCTGTTTCTCTCTAGTCTCTCACTCTCTTTCTCTCTCTCTCTCTCTCACTCACACACACACAAACACACACGCACGCAGGCACACACACTCATCTTCATATTTGTACTGTTTGTCTATTGTCTGTATTTTTGTATTGTATCTGTGCACCATGTCGGAAAACCACCCAGCAGTCTTTGAAGATCCTAGTGAGGTCAGATGGCATATGGCTGCTGAAATAAGCAAGGCTCTTCTCGATGAGGCCAGGGTGAGAAATTTTGACAACTTTACACCCATATCTCTGTCAAATAACTATTGGTATTACATATTGTTTGTTTGTTGTAGTTGCTGTTGATGTTCTTGACATTTAATGGACATTGGAGTTGTGTAGTATTTTATGTCTTTTAGTTTTAGTTTTGTGTTTTTTTTAATGTTAGTTACTTTGGAAAAGCGTCCAAAGTCCAAACATAACCATAAGTCTGATAGTCTATCAGAAAACATTAATATTTTTTTTTTCATATAGGCTGCAATGGGAAGCCATGTCCCTCAAAAAAGAAAGAGGACTAAGAGAGGGAAAACAGTCGCAAGCGCAGCGGCCACAAGTAACAGACGTAAGAAGCGTCAAAAAAAAGAACGTCGTGCATTAGGTTCGTTGTTTATAACACTGTTATAGTTTAATAATGATTATTATCTAAATGTTGGTGAGATGTATGATGGAATTTTGTGAATTTTCTGGGCTGAAATATATGATGCTTTACAGTAAGACCCTGCTAGAATAGATAACCTATTGCATTGGCATTTACAGCTTCTGAAGTTCAAGTGATCACAGTGTCTGAGGAAGTCCCTCAGATCGAAGAAGAGATGACTGCAAGTCTTGGTCAGTATGTCTGTCTAATCCCTATAACATTTCCTATCCCTCCATTTCAACAACTTTTCTAATGACCCTGTAAACTTTTCCTCGATTCATTGTTGTTGATGTCTCACACTTCTTCTCCACGTAACTACATTAAAAGTGGTTTGTGTTTGTATTTTGTTGTTGTAGAAAGAATGTGCATTATATTATACATTTTTACAATTCTGCACTCATTGCTTTTGCATAGCTCACTTTTAGAATTTTTTTCCTATTTTGGGGAGTGATAGACACTCCTACTCTTCATTTCAAACTGGTCTATTATCGGAAGCATATTACACCTTTTGTGAAACCATTGTGATACAATGGTTTGTGATACCATGATCAAATCCATATACAGTACATTAAACCAACATTAAATGGACACTGTCGTCTATATGGCTTGGTCAAAGTCAGATTTTAAGTCCTAATTATTGTTGTACCATTCAGTCATTTTTATCTATTGTGCCTTCACTCAATCGAAGGGTTGTTTAACAGTTATTTATTTTCAGATACACGTCTTCAACAGCTGAGGAACGCGCTTGACTCAGTTGAGGTTAATGTGGCAGCTGAAAAAACAGCATGGGCACAGCGGCAGCTACACGCTGATACAAGGGCAAAAGCAGCAAGGCCAGTGCTGCTTGATGCTAAACTGTCCGCTGAAAGAGATGTCAACCAAAAATGCCACAGGTGCGGTGCCGGAGAGGCAGTAATTAGGTGTCTGGATTGTGTGCCACTGGACATGGAGTATCTATGTGGAGGATGCGACATGGATGCTCACAAAAGGAATGTGTTCCACGGCAGGGAGGCACTATTCCATGGCTACCTGGAGCCTATTCCCCCCACAAAGGCTGTGGTGATGGGTGAAAATGGCCAGCCTCACTTTTGTGAGCAGGGTATGTGTTTATTAACAATTTATGTTGACTAGTAAAGGGTAATTATTTATTGCACAAATATTCTTTGTTGATATACTTTGTCAATGGAAAAGGTTTAAACTCTTAATTTGAATCACTCTTTGACTGAAGAAATTGTTTTTGTTTGGGTTTGACTATGAAATATGCTATTAGTAGAGTTGTTTATTTTGTAGATGTTGGTTCTGAATCACTGGTATGACAAGTGATATGCCTTCTTGATCGAGGAAAAATGTATCAAACTCTTTGCATTACAGTATGTCAGTTGCCATTGCCTGCACGTAGGGCACTATGTGAGTGCACCCATGAGATTGAGGTCACCTCTGGCAAGCATATTTCTTTGGTCACCATGAATGGTAAGTTTGGAAAGTCCTGCTTTTTGTTTTGTTGTACCACAGAAGTTACCAATTGCAATCAAGGCAAAGCTTTTCTTTTGAGAAATATAGTGAATTAATAAGGGACAGTTGAGTTGGAAAAAGTTGATTCTGTGAAACACATTTAATGTGTCTCGTTTTTCACAGGACGATATGATGTCTGTTTGCCCCGTAAAGTTTGTCCAACCTGCCTTGTGGAATGGACCCCTGGGGTGAAAGAGCTCCTCAGGTACCGTTACTGGCCAAGCACAACAAACTGCCAGACACTATATAGTTTTGACGTCTTCGACGCTTTTGCTCACATTAAAGTTTCGGCTCCTTCGATGTCAAGGCATGCCTTTTTAAAGCTACTGGAGCACCGTTCTGTTCAGGCTGGAAGGGTAAATCTGCTTGAATCATTGTAACACATAATCATATTAATGTATCTAATATTGTGATATTTATTTTCTGTAAACACTAATAATTTTTTATGTCATAGCCAGGGAATGTCTGTGCAGATACGTTCCAGAAAAGTTTTTTCGAATATTGTTTTTGCAAACATACAGAAGATGTGATGTGTGAAGTAAATGACTTTTATTGTCCAGCATGTCACCCAGACATGTTGGCAGTGTGTTGTGATGGCAATCGCAAACATTATCGCTTCAAAAAATCAAGGGGGTATGTTCATATTACACAGTCAAAACCACACCATTGTCATAGAAATAGTTGCATGTAGAGTAATGTTTTGTCAGTTAAAAGATATTTTTTTTGTGCTATCAATTTTATTGGACAGGAATGAGGAACACTCTCTGTACAAGGGGTTATTTCTTGCTAAAGATGAGGAGGTATCAGCCTTTCTCAACAACATCAGAGGCAGCAGCATGACAAGAGTATGTCTAATACTGCATATTAAGATAGTATATCTATTGTTTATGTTTGTTTGTTTGTCTTTTCTGTTTTCTATTTGTTAAGATGAGTGATATCTAACTTTACAGGCAGATAACAGTGGAACATGTGGCGTTTCAAGGTTCAGGTACGCCAAGTAAGGAGATGTCAAAAAAATCATCGTCCAAAATAGATGAAGAGGGCATACAAGTGGCAGTCTGCAGGTATGTGGGTAGATCAGAAGTATGCAATTGTACAGATGCCACTTGTCACACCCTGTGGAAACTCAATTGTGGATAAATGCATCAGAGTCAGGTCAGAGTCAGGTATTTCCTAATGGGAAGTAAAGTCCTTTCCGTCCTTCAGATGAGATGTTAAACTGAGGTCCTGACTCTGTGGTCATTAAAAATCCCAGGTTGTCCTTCAAAAAGAGTAGGGGTGTAATGCCGACATCCTGGTCAAATTTGCTCCTTGGCCTCTGTCCATCATGGCCTCCCAATCATACCCATATACTGATTGGCTTCATCACTTTATTTATTTTTTAAATAAATTACTTGATGGGGATGAGTGTTTGCGATTGAGGATTGATGGGGATGAGTGTTTGCGAATGTGTGCGTATGTGCAAATGGATTTAAGCTTTGAATAGAGGTTTTTGATTAGCTCTGTTTTCCACAGGTCTTATTGTGTAAACAGATCATTAAAAATATTGTCCTCTTGTGCATCAGACACGGGATATTGCTTCGTGGACTGAACCACTACCGTGGCGAGGTCTTTGCCTACCCAATGTTTTTACAGAAGGAATTGTCAGAGAGGGCCAATGTCACTTTCTTCTGCATGGATGTTGTCTGCAGGTAATTTTTCTCTTTCACATTGAAACTTGGTCAACCTACTGTACATTAAATGGCAAGTGCCTGTTTGTTTTTTTTCAGTCGTTTTATATTGATGGCCAGGCAAAGTATTAGTTAATGCCTACTAATGCTGTGCTTCTTTTTAGGTACTGGCCATACCTAAGCAAAGTGACTGAAGAATCATCCGATCTTCAACCACTGATGGAAATGAGGCCATTTCTCAGTGTGATGCATGCCAAAGCTCATACAGCAAAATGCGAGGTACCTCAAATTACTGAAATTTAGATGCAACAGTAGCCAGCAGGCAGCTAGTGCTAGAAGTCGTGCAATGATTGTTTTTTATTATTATTTTAAATTGGTATTAGTAGTAATATAATAAGTTGTAAGTCTGTGATTAGTATATCTTGTGTAGTATATTATGCAGATAAAATATGACACCTTTAAAGTGAAAAAGATTTTAATGTGCACATAATAAATGACATTATTTAAAGTTATGGTATGAAATTAATCCAACACTTTTGCAGGTGAGATGGGGCGGTAGGAATCAGGATGGAGCAGGGAACACTGTTGGAGAGGAAGTTGAGCAAGTATGTTATTACAGACATTATTGTAACTATGTAGATATAGGAGATTTTACTGATACATTTCAGCAGAGTGTGAAGGATAAAGTACATCAGGGTACCAAACAAAGATCTATGCTTGCTCGAATGACCATCAGAGCACGATCTGAACTGTAGTTGCAACACATATTTTGTTGAAATAAAAAAGTGAAGTGAGCAGTGGTGTTTTATGCATGATGCATCACTATTTCAAGCTTTGTTCCCTCTGAGCTTCACTATTTTATTATATACACTCATTTGAACATGTTAGGGAAATTCTTTATCTGCAAATTCATTATCTGCATTATCTGATATTAGTTAAACAATAAGACAAACAATAAAACAGTATGGCTACATGTTCACATATACATTTATTTTTTTTTTGTTGTAATGTTATATAGGAATACATTAATTTCTGTATTGTTTATCTAGGTAAACAGCTTTCTCTCCAGGGCTGCTCTTGTCACAAAGTACATGACAAAGGCAGGTTGGTATGACACAATACAAACCATACGCTATGATGAGGTATTTCTGACTTCTAAAATGTAATTTTCATGTTATCCTTGCGCTAAAGTAATTTGTGTGTTTGGTCATGTCTAACTGCAATGGTCTTTCTCATGTAAATTGATCCAATCATGCATGCAGATTTTTTTTTTTTAATCAGGGAGAGAGAATATGCTCACGCAACAGGCCAAGGGGTGGAACAGAAAAAAGACAGAGAACCTTCATAAAGTCTTAGCCTGCAGATACATCAAAGTAAGGACATTTCCCAATGGTCCTTTTGCCTGACACAACATACATTTTAACAACAAACAGCAGAGCTGGCGTCTATCCATCTGTAATAAGCTCATTCATCTATTGGAATTTCATTTTGATCTCGGTATTGTCTGAAAGCTTGTATGGTATTTTTTATTTTTGTGTGATTTAAAGATTTCCGAGAAGGTAAAGCTGGAAGTTGCCAGCTTCAGTGATTTCCGCCAGAAGAATGACATCACTGAACAAACAGCACAGCAGTGGGTGTGTGATGTTCAGCAGTGGGCAGTCACAGGTAAATCACATCTGTTAATTAGTTTGTTCAAATATTAACTACTTAAAGTGATCAGACATTTTTAAATTAAACAATTTCTGAAATATTTTTGTTTCCTATTAAGAGCCAGGGAGCACAGCAGAACAGGGAGCAACAGAGGATCTCAGGGTTGAGATAGAGAGCATCATAGTGGCTCTGCTACGCAAGAAGCAGGACCTCTATCGTCAGCATGGTTGGTTGACTGATATTCAAATGGCACATTGCAAACAAACAAAAACAGTTTTCCTGATAGTTTTCTTATTTCACCTTGCAGATAGCAACCAGACAAGACAGAGAAAAAGAAGAAAAATAAGAGAATTAAAAAAAAAAATGAAACAAAAGATTCAGCTGTACAATGCTATTGCAGAAGATACAATTGATGAGGAGTTGGCCTCAAATTCGACAGAGGACTACATCCTGCCTTGGGAGAGACGTGAGGATGGTATGGTGGTAGTCCTGACATGTTCTTGAAAATGTATACCTGTCTGTATATGATATTGCAAAATCTCCCTCTCTCTCTCTCTCTCTCTCTCTCTCTCTCTCTCTCTCTCTCTCTCTCTCTCTCTCTCTCTCTCTCTCTCTCTCTCATATGTTTTAGTTTATAACTTAATCATAAATACTAAATCACTTTTTCATATTTCCATCTATTCCCACTACCTAAAGGTCACTCCTTCAGGTTAAAACGGTCTGTTTTTGACCAAATTATGCTAATTAGACGCCTTGAGGAGGAGCAGAGCATCCTGGTTAAGGAGATGTCTCAGCACATCACATCTCTCCGTAAGGAGATAAAGGGAGTGGAGAAGCTGAAAGAGAACATCAGAATGGGCTGTAAGTCAAATTTGGATTTTTTTTCCCTCACTAACATGTGTAGTCCCTTTTCCATTGAATGGTACTCACCTCAACATGACTCTACTTGGTTTGGTTTAAATTTTTTGGTTTAATTTTCTACTGCATAAAAGTACCATTTCATGGAACTGGTTGCTATAGCGGTACTGAAGTAAACTATCTTTGCATCACCATTTTGTAAAAGTTTGTAACAGCAATCACTACAGCAGAACATAAAATCAACAGTATTCTGAAATCATCGCAATACAGACATGTTTTTGGGGAGCAATATTTACTCTTATCGGCTGTCCTGTCTCGCTAACACTAAGCTGCTGTTGAGGACCTACTCAGAACTTTAACATTATGATGCTGGCAATAACAATGACCACAGAGCTATCTGCACATCATTGTTGGAACTTCAACAGAGGTGGAACCAAAAGTGGTACAAGAGTCAAGTGGATCTGGTACCAGTCAGTGGAAAAGAGCCACACGTTTTGTTATTTTCTATATTAGTCGTACCACTCTGCTCCACCCTCACACTTTGTTTGCTCAACCCCCCCACAACCCCCCCCCCCCCAAAAAAAATAAAATAAAAATATATATATATATATATACAGTGCATTATATTTTGAACAGAAATTAACAATCGCAAAAAAAAAAATTGTTTGAGCAAAGAAAAAAATTATTCTGTGCTCAATAAATGTATTTGCTATTATCCATATGAACGTGCAATAATAACCCCTCTCACGCTGTTTACAGGTGCTCTCTCAAACTTATTCTCTGCACTCCTGTCAAGTCCCTCTCTCTCTCTCTCAACCTCTTAATTCTGTGCGCGCTCAACTCTTGACACGCTCGCTCAATGTGCAAGAGCGTTACAAGTGTGCCACAAAATCAACCAATCGGAAAATTAAAAGTAAATTGTGATTGGCTATTACAGCACAGTCTCATCCCAAGACGTCATATAACTGATGTCTTGGGACGTCTTTTGACCATACGTCAACATCCGCCTTTTTAGGGTACCCTTAAACATCGGTTAGATGACGTTATCGGATCCTAAACCTACCCCTAAACCTACGCCGTCACCTAACTGACGTTAAAGGTAAAGCGTCAGTTGTATGACGTCCCAGGACCGTCATATAACCGACGTTTAAGGGTACCGTAAAAAGGCGGATATTGACGTATGGTAAAAAGACGTCCCAAGATGTCAGTTATATGACTTCTTGGGATGAGACTGTGTTAGCTATTATGCTGCTCATTTTATTTTATTTTATTTTACTAGCGATTTTATTGGAGACCAACAGCCAATCACAATTGACCTTTAATTTTCCAATTGGTTAATTTTGCGGCACACTTGTAACGCTGTTGCAAGTTGAGCAAGCGTGTGTGTCAAGAGTTGAGCACGAGAGAGAAAGAGAGAGAGAGAGAGGGACTTGACAGGAGTGGAGAGAATAAGTTTGAGAGAGCACCTGTAAACTGTGTGAGAGGGATTATTATTACACACTCAAAACTTTAAATTAGTCCCTCAGGATTGAGGCACACAAATGACGCTATCCCCAGCTTCTGCAAACCCCCATCCCTCCCTGACTGCACTTTATACCTCCAATTTATGCAAAGTATAGGATGTTAAACATACAATTTCAATGAATTTCTTACATACAATAATAACTATGCATATGACAATAAAATGTACTTGTATTCCGTGTTTAAGTTTTCTTGCAAAAAATAATCTTAAAAAAAAAAAAAACAAGTAACATTTTTATGTCATATGTGGTTCTACATGCTATAATTTTTTAACAATATTAGTAATTCCCATATTTATTTATGTTACAGATTTTGGTGACTTGTCAGAGGATGCTGCAGCTGGTTTCAAAAGTGTCCTCATGCGGAGGTCTTATGCACTGGAGAGTTTATGCCAACAAGCTGTGAGCACGTATAGTGCTATAGTTGATGACCTCCAGATACAGGACACAGAATGCAGATCGGACACTGATGACGAATATAACCTTAGCAGTCCAGAGTCAGAAGAAGATTAGAAAGGAGACCACTCTGTTTTGTTTTGTTTTGTTTTTAAAATCTGCTGATCCTTTCTTTTTCAACTTCAACAATTTCCAGCTTGTCTTCAACAACCTCCAGCAAGCAATAATTTATCGCTGCAGAATGGCCAGACTCTGGCCACCTTTTATTACCAGGCTAACCCCCAAGCTATCAGACATGTAAATATGCACTAACCCTATGATAATTCAGTTATCAACATTAGGTGTTGTTAATTGTGAAATTATTTTGCACTGCAACTTCATATACTTCAATCATGAGTCTGTAATATAATTGCAATATCGATTGAATGGATTGGCCCTCTGGGTGGACTGTTTTATGCATTCTGGACTGTGACATTTCAACCTCAACTTTAGCACTTAAAGGACAATAGGGAGCTCATTTATGCTCTATTGAATTTTCTTGTGTGTCAGATGTGTGTTGTGGTACATGTGAGCACACAAAGATAGATTTCTTCAACTGGAAATGGCTACAATAAACTTGAATGAATTTGAAAATGTAAATAATTTGTGATTGTAAAAAGTGCATAAAGTACATAATTGCCTTGTAGTCTTTATTCAAAATCTACATTTTACAGTATACTGTAATAATATAAAAACTCTTCAGGATGTAGAAGTGGCACTGGTGAAATCAAAAGTCCAAAATTGTCCATGGGACCTGGTGTCACTTGGCAATACTTAACGCGCTCTGTTGACTTGACAGATCAGAGATTTGATAAAAACACATTAATGTTTTTTTTCATATATTCAAAACCAATGAATTTAAGCAGGATAGTATTTAAATTAACATAAAAAAAGTGATAATTTCAGTAAGGGTGGTGATAGATTCAGAGTTGGAAACAGGACAACAAGATCGTAGCTAGTGTCTGAAAGTATAATTAAGCTGCATGTTAGAACACCAGCACTGTTGTTTTACAGTCTCATATCTCTCATCCCTGGACATTTCTCAATTTACCAGCCGACCATCAATCATCAATCATGGATCCCTATCAGTTTGCTTACCAGGCTGTGGAAAATGCCATCAACCTGGCTGTTTACTCTGCTACATTTGGAGTCAATTAACACCTATGCATGCGTGCATAGCTTAGCATATAACATGATAGATCCTTAATCTGTTCTCCAGCCTGCAAGTAATGAACAGCAATATAGATCTGTGTCACTTGATACTTTCATATAATTAAATCAATTTTAACAATATTGCCCTCAATAAGGATAGGCCACCACAAGGCTGTAGAGAGGTAGTAGGAGCAAACACTGTATTCTACTGCTGCTGGTGGCTCGTGCCACTCGTCTACTGTCCTGTACACTGTCCTGCCCCACTCACTTATTGTCCTGTGCCACTAGTCTATGTCCCGTGAGACTTACAAATTGAAAAAAAACCTAACCCTTAACCTAATCCTAAACCTAACCCATTGGACAGTGACTAATGACTACGGACAGTGGACACTTCAGACGGGATATTGAGTGAGTGCCATGTGAGAGTAGGCAAGCGTCACAAAACAAAATGAGTTGTGCAGGACAGTGCATGGGACAGCAAGTCAGTGGCATAGTGAATAGGACAGGTGGCACAAGACATGGGTTCATGGGTGGCGCAGGACAGGTCACGAGGATCAGTAGTACAAATCACCAGTAGCAGTACAGTACAGTTATTGCTCCTACTGCTAGAGGAGAAACGACCAAGATCAAGTTTGCAGATGATACCCCCATCATCAGTCCCATCAGATACAGTATGAGTCTCAGTGCTCCATGGAGGATAATTGGGATGTAGAATGAAGTACCACCAGCAAATTTCATCCTGAGGAGGAGGAGGCCAAATCCCAGTTATTATAGTTGAGCACTGAAATTTTTACATTTATGGCATCTCACATCAGACATAATGAATTAATTGAAATGGGATATTAACATCCCACCTTATGAACAGGCACAAACAACACATTAATCAGACATGATCTGGACATGTTATGTGTAAACAACCTCTTCTATAATGCCATATACAGGGGTTGGACAATGAAGCTGAAACACTGGCCAATGTTGGAGGTTTCACAACTAAATGCCTGGCGGCCAATCTTCAGAGTGAAACACGGGTGGATCAGTGATGGTTTGAGCTCCAATATCATTAAAATCCTGATTGTATTTGATGGACACGACACTGCTGAGGACTACCAAACCCTTCTGGAGGATCATGAGCACCTGATGCTCAAACCGTGTATCAGCATGATCATGCACCAACACACACAGCAAGACTTGTGACAGAAGGGTTTGATGAAGATGAAAGTGACGTTGAACATCTCCCATGGTCTGACAGTCACCAGATCTGAATGTTATTGAGGTGTTTTGGAGGAGCGAGTCCACCAGCATCATATAGTGACCTGGACACTGTTCTGGAAGAGGAACGGCTCATAATCCCTCTGGTCACTGTGAAGGACTTCTATCTGTCAATTGGTGCCGTATTTGGATGCAAAATGTGGCCCTCAGCATACTAACAAATTATTGTGTTGTAAAACCAGGTGTTTCAGTTTCATTGTCCAACCCCTGTATCTTATTCATCACTACCTGGTATGGAAGGAATGACAGACAGTCACACTTGATGGAAATTAGAAAGGATTGACACAAAAGTATAATAAATAAAGGATATTTAAAGGTCTTCTTGTTGTAATCCTCCTTCCCCCTAATTAAGTCTTATTTCATTGTATATTATTTTGACCCAGCCCTCCCCTGGATACACATCAGCTTAATCACTATCATGCAAGGACAAATTCAGTATTTTGTCAGCATTTACTCTACCCATGTTAAAGTGTACATTTGTCTAAGTCTAGTTGGTGATTTCTATAAAGATGGTCTGCTGAACATCAAGAGGGAAAAGGACATTATACCTGTGACTTAGCAATAGACTGGCCAGTTATAACTACCACAATGATGAGGAAACTGATGGGACAGTAGAGGATACACTGTACATAAGGTAGATTCATTCTGCCCATTATGGCTGGCATTAGCAAACATCCCAATTGAAAAAAAAATGAATGGAGGACAGAATCCATATGAATCACATCTAGAGTGCATTCACCTCTAGCACGTACTGTAGTGTATTATAGTTAGGAATTAATATGAAGATTCATTGTATACAACAGCCTGCTTTGTCTTAGTAGATTACTGTATGACATTTCATCACTTGACCTGGAGCATTTTGCAGTTTGCTTTGAAAAGTCATTGCAATTCAGCAGTGACTGACTGTTATTGAGCTGAGCCCCATTTCATACATAACTTGAACCATGTTTGAGAGACAAAGGGCCCTATTTTAACATCTAAAACATCAAACATGAAACAGTAACTTTGTGGCCGGACCTTGGGTGCTGTTGCTATTATAGCCTACCAACGGGATTCTTGGGAGCAACGCAAATCTAAAATGAAGTAGCTACATTGTTCATAGATGTGGTTTGGGCCTAACATGAAATAAACCAGATCAGAGCGACATCTCACTATCCCTTTAGGAGCAGGTGCGCTTGTTCCAATTATTATATTGGAGGATTTTCCATGCGTGTGCAAGGAGCACTTCACAAGCGAGGAGAGCAACGTTCTCGTCAGGGCCGGAAAAAGACATGACATTGTATGGGGCCCATCTCCCATAGAAACTCACCCAAATTAGCTTTTTTCAAACAGGCATATAAAAATTTGGATGAATGTGTAAGCTAGATTTATGCCTATGTTTTTCACATCTTCATGGACACAACAATGATTCCCCTCATTTGTGAATGTTTCCTTGTAAAAATGTACATGGTTTTATAAAAATGAGAACTGCTGCATCTGTGTGTACATGAGAAAAGCAAAGTGCATGCTCGTTGTGCACACGCTACATTGATTATGGCCAACCAGGTGCCCTTAAAATAGCATGAATAACATGCGCAACTCGCCACTGACTTTAGACTAGGCTTTTCCTGGTGAGTGGCGTGATTGTTTTCTAAACCTGCAAATTAGCTCCAGGGAATGTTTGCGTCTGTGGAGGGAAAAGTCCGCTGTGTGCAAAATAGGAATGATACATGCTGTACAAAGTCAATTGCGCTGGGTGCAAGATAGGGCCCCAAGTTACTGTCCGTCAACTGCCCACAGCCTGGTTGCAGTGTCCTTTTTTTACCTGGCAACAGACCCGGGCCCCAAGTTCCCATTTTAGAGACCAAAGTAAACGTTTGTTACTTAACAGCCCAAACTCTTCTGCAATGTAACCATTGGTACAACAAATGAAGACTGGTGTGCGACTTGAACAGGACTTTATATAGTGTGTACCAGTCTTTGACAGATGGAGGAAGGAATCAAATGAAATGGATTCCCAATAATAACAGTCAACATACAAGAGATTCGAAAAAAACTGTCATGTGTAATACAAATGTCCCCAGTCCTTCATACCAACAAGCCCAAATGCTGTTAGTACAGTATGATGCCTACTAAAAGAAAAGCTTAGTATATTTATTCAAGTCTTCATGTACATCCTATTATTAAAATTACTACACAAAGATCTCTGCTAGGTCACATGAGTGTGAGTGATGTCTGTTAGACATGACACGGAAAAGCTTAGTAAATACAAATCTTTATTAAAACAATACAAACCTACCAAAAAAATGAACAAAATATCATAAAAAACAAACTAGTCAAGGATCAATTTTCAATTAAGCCATCTGCCAGGTTGGAGGCCAGGTTTTCCCGCTAAAAAATACAAGAGATAGATGGTTAGTGAAAAAGGTATATGAATAATGACTTAACATTCAATGCTGTAACGTCTACAGTACACGATTACTCAATAATAGAGAGTACAGTAATTAAGTTGAAAGACAAGGTATTAAATAGGAGTGATGTTAAAGGACAACTCCGGCGCAAAATGAATTACACATTGGTACATAGTCAACCGTTCCCTGAGATTTGTTTTCATGATTAGCAAATGTAAAGAGTTGTATCTCTAAAAACTGTTTAGCTTATAATGCTAGTTTATAGGGCTTAGAGTAGTGAAAATAAAAAAAAACACTAGTTAATACCACTTACAAGGCTCAAAATAGCCCCACACTAACACGGTAGCATAATCAGGGTCCCTATATGCAAAACGAAGCATTGAGAACTAGAATTTGAGAATAGAAGAGAATAAGAAGACACTTTATAAAGACAGTTCACTTTGTGTAATACAGACAGGAGCCATCTTTGGAAAACAGTCTTGAGCAATCGAACCACGAACACCGAGCCAAATGCGCTGGTGAGATGTGACGAGCCAAAACTGCTGCCTGTATACACAAAGTGGACTGTCTTTATAAAGTATCTTCTTATTAAACGGTCTGTACACTTACAAAGTTCTCAATGTTTCGTTTTGCATGTATGGACCCTTATTATGTTACTGTGTTAGTGTGGGGCTATTTTGAACCTTGTTAGTGGTATAAACTAGCGATTTTTATTTTCATTACTCCATATGCCCCATATGTTTGAGAGTTGCCCCCGTACGCGTTATAAGCTAAACAATTTTTAGAGATAAAACTCTTTACATTCGATAATCATGAAAACAAATCTCAGACAACGGTTGACTACGTATGTACCAATGTGTAAGTAGACCAAAACTTCATTTTGCGCCAGCGTTGTCCTTTAAGATTAACCATAGGCTTGAAAATAGCACCTAGAGTTTTTTAATAAACAAAGAAAAAAATTCTAGACAACACCATTTACAACTGGTAACTGTTAATTCATAACCTAACAAAATTAAGATAGTTGTACATAGAGTACACAGTAGTATAAAATAGATTGCAAAGACTTAAAAACTGAATTTTGATAATGCAATCTTGTCTGGCCTCGCTTAAAGCCAATGTAGCACTCAGTGATAGTAGGGTTGGTAATGAATAGTCAAGGGTGTGGCAAACACAACTTTAGGTATATCCATTACAACTATCAATTGGCTATAAGTCAATTGTTCTTATTCAGCAGTTCCCTTTGAATCTACAATGTCAAAATACACTTGAGACATGTTTATTTTCCTTTTTTTTGTTTTTTGGCTCAATGTCATCTGTCAAACACAGTGGTTCTAACCAACTGGTTTAGTTGCTTGCCATGCAACGTGTTGTCTTTGAAGTTGCTGGAAGGTTTGTGTTTTGTGCATTGCAATGTAAAAAAATGTGGTATACTAAGGCTACGTTCACACTGCAGGCTGAAAGGGACCAATTCGGATTTTTTTGACCCTATGTGACCTGTATCTAATCTTTTCATGACAGTCTGAACGACACAGATCCGATCTTTTCAAATGCGACCCAGGCCAATAGGGTATGTGTTCCAAATCCGATATGTATCCAATCTTTTGAAATGCGACTTCAGACTGAACGGCCCGGTCACATGTTTCCGTGGCTCTTATCAGAACTTCTGCAAACAAGTACTCTTCTGTGAATGCGGGTCACTTCTGGGTCATTTCACGTTCACACAGGAGATCACAAAAGGTCGCAATTAATTGGAAATGTGAACGGCCTTGCAATTTTTTTTTTGTTTTTAATCGGAATTGACTTTATGCCCAGCTGCACTACTTCCTGAACTTCAGCCAGCTCCTTGTTTCCTGTCTGCCATTATTCGACAAATTGATTAATTCAGGTGTGCTTGACCTCAGTAGTCATGGCAACAACAATCAGGCACACCTGAATTAATCAAGTTTGGCCAATAATGGCAGACAGGAAACAAGGAGCTGGCTGAAGTTCAGGAAGTAGTGCAGCTGGGCATAAGGTCAATTGAGTCCCTTTCACACGTAAGTTTAAAATATTCTAATTGACCCCCCCAGCGTGAGTTTTTCAAGGCGACCGTTATTTAGAACTTGTCACTTCAATGTTTCCATGGTGACGCGTCATTGCTTATCACGTGACACAGCGCAACCACAACACAGCGCTAAATGAACGATGATCGGCTTTTATGTCAATTTTCCTTTTTTATTTTTAAATATTCACAAATGTATTAGCTATAGCATGAAACACTGATATTCCGATTGTCAAATACGTACAAGTGGATGGGTTTTGTTGTTTAAACATCTTTATAACGGTCGCGTTAGTTGAGCTGTGTGCACAATGGGCGACACCATTTTCGTTTGTTTTACAGTTCAGAGAATCGGATCTGTTGGATTTACAACGCGTCAATTCCTCCACTTCTCACGAAATACATGAAAGTAAGTGGCCGGTGAACTGGGGGAAGAATGAAAAGCTACTTACACAATGTGTATCGCCTTATTATAATTGAAAGGATTATTATTGCCGCTTCCATAGACATCAGTGTGTATTTTACAAACTCAAAATCATTGTTTTGCTAGTACATATGTATTAAATGTCTGAAACCTAAAATAAACATTATGTTTTTGAAAACACTCATTAGTTGTGATATGACAGGACCATAGACTGTAAACAGGTGTGATCGTACGCGTGAAAGGGTTAAGCCCCTGCAGTGTGAACGTAGCCGGTGAACTGTCCAAGCAAGGGTACCATACCATAGATCGCAGGGCATCCAGTCGTACAGGAGTTCGGTCTTCCCCTGTGGAAGACAAAAAAAAAAAAAAAAAAAAACATGAAAATGTGTAACATGAAATATTGCATACAGATTTACAATGTAAACTTAAATGGATTGATTTGGATTGACATTAGTTGATCAGTTTTCAAATAATTTCAGTAATTATTGTAAGAGGAAAACCCCTCGAGATGTGACATCTAGTTTTCGAGTTCTCTAATGCATGATTGTTATAGAGAATGCACCAATAAAAGGGTTTCCCTACACAAACAATTTCTGACCCTATTTAGTGTGCTTTTCAATAATTTATCTAATAAAACCTTTGCCATCTTCCTTTATGTGCCAGTTTTCTAAAAACTTCTAAAAACCTTATTACATTTTGTTGTACTTATTTGGAAATGAGACATTTGTACCATTCACTCTGAGACATTTTAAATGATACTAAACATAATACTCAATGATAATCATTCACATTATAACCATATGTTTCTTGAGAGAGAATGAAATGCAGATTAGGTGAGACTGTATGAGGGGGAGGTCAAATGTTCATTTCCAGCGAGGTCCTTTGTCTTACTGAGCACTGGTCATTCTTTAACCAGTTTTTTCCAGTCTTCCACGACTACCGGTAAAGATAATAGGAACGAGAATATTTCCCAGAACAACAATCAGGTCCATATTCTGATTACTTGCAAGCAATAGTCTGTCAGGATAGCAAACATCATGTAGTTAACAGGGAAGAGGGTTCCTTTCTTCACATCAAATACTGTATAAGGACCTTTAAAGGATATTTCTAGGCATTTAAAAATAAATATTTAGAGACATGGATCAAGGGCAAATTTTATCAAAGGGACAACTAAGAATTCCCTGGTGATACAATGGGCTTTATGCCCAGCTGCACTACTTCCTGAACTTCAGCCAGCCCCTTGTTTCCTGTCTGCCATTATTGGGCAAACTTGATTAATTCAGGTGTCTGATTATTGTTGCCATGACTACTGAGGTCAGGCACACCTGAATTAATCAATTTGGCCAATAATGGCAGACAGGAAACAAGGAACTGGCTGAAGTTCAGGAAGTAGTGCAGCTGGGCATAAAGCCCATTGGCACTATTTGTTCTGTCATGTTTCCTGTCTGTGTTCCCATCTTTTTCCATGTTTAGCAGTTCCCGTTATGTCTATTAGTCTTCCTAGGTGTCTCTGATTAGCCACTCCCCTCATTATCTTGTTTAGCTTGTTTGCCTTTGTATTTAAGCCATGCGTCTAGCTCAGTCTTTGTGTTTTCTGGATGTTGTTCTGTTGCATGTTGTCGGTTTTGTTCTGGAGTCTTAGCCTTTGTCATAGTTCAAGTTTATTCTTAGTATTTGTCATTGTTCAAGTTTATTTAATAAAAACTGCTGCATTTGGATCCTGCTTCCTGCACTGCATTATAACAGATACAGTGGTTAGCTTTGCTGACATCTAAGCAGATGTTGCAGGTCCCACCTATTAAGGTACACTTTAGTTTAATTTATGATGCTAAGTAACTTGAACATGGAACATAACTTGAACAGTGGCATGTTGCTTGGGTACCTGGGCCTTGAGTAGTGTGCCCAAGAAGGAGCACTAGCACTCAGTTACTCACACCCCGTGATGCAGGACAACTTCTAAATTTTTAATCAAATACCTTTTCACAGTTTTATATGAAGTTAGCTGTAGTTTAAACCTTGCAGAAAAATTATGCTGGTTGCTGGATGGTCTAAGTTAGAGTGGGCTGAAAGAGAAAATGCTGCGTTCCAGCATGTAACATACGACCAAGTAGCGATTGGTTAAAGCAGAAAACAAATATCCCAATGGATAGGTTCGTGGGGCCTCATTTATAAAACTCTGTGCGTAGGATCCTTAATAAAAGTGTATGTGTGACCGAAAGGCAAAAATGGCATTCGCAAATTTTTTAAACCGTTCGCACACCAGAACCTGCGCAAAATTCACTTTATAAATCCCAGTCACTGGAAGATTGTGCGCACATGCTGCTCCCCGAAATAGCCATAAATGAGCTTACAACCCATAGTTTTACTATGCATATCCTACAAACCAGTTTCAAAACATGCTAGCCAAGATGTATTTTCTGTAGGGAAGACATCATATCAGATAACACAATCTAACTACCTCTCCAATCCTACCTTTCTCTGCCTTGTCCGTATTATCCCACGGTATGGGTGCACATCCCGATTGTTGTGGGGGCAATCTTTTGTTCTCACTGTACAACATAAGAGAAATGATAAATAATAATCCAAATGCAAATGTAGCCTTGGAAAATACTTAATACTTGAAAACCTCCTTATCTACAGTATGAACACTATCCATGCAATCCATATGGAAATTAATTAAAACAATAATATCAGGAATACCCGCACAACAATTAAATTAATACTTTGTGTTGATAATGTAAAAGATGACAGAATATCAGATGTCAGATTTCAGACCTCTCTTCCTCTGATTTTGCCTTTTCCCTATATAAACAAATAGACTTGGTTCAGTACAGCACAGATATTTGAAGCTTAAGCATATTCTTTCAAAGATAAAGAACATAAATAAAGCTGAAGAGCTTAAGACCTTGTCCAGTAGGAGGTTGTTCAGCCACAGCAACAGTCCCAGCCCCCTGGTCCACAGAAATTGTGGCTACTGAATCTGAAATGAGTGAAGAGATAGCATTGACTATCATCATAATATACATACAATTAGGTCATAACAGAGACCTGAAAAAAAAGAGATTAAAGCGATACTACAGAGTACATCATCCCACCATAGCCTTGTTGTTTGAACTTCCCAAGTGCTGTTGGTAGGAAGAAGAACAAGAGAATTTGGTATAGCATAGACTACATAGCAAACCATCTGAGACCATGAGCTCTATGTTGTACCAAATTCTCTCGTTCTTGTTCCCACTGACAGCAGCATACAGTGAGCTCAAATAAAAGGACTATGGTTGGAAGAACTCAGGACAATGTAAAACCTTGTACTGTAGGAGGAAAGCTTAGCAACAATTCTGGACCACCCTCAGTCCCAGCCCCCTGGTCCAAAGTCATGCCACTTGTCAAATCTGAGGATGAGAATGAGTGAAAAGAAGATGTTGTCTCTCTAACGTGTATACACAGATTACATAACACACAGTACAATTAGGGTCTATATTCACAAAGAATCTTAGGGGTGAAAGCATCTCAATATTTTAGGAGAAGAAAAAAAATTGGGCTAATCCCTAATGAGGAAATTTTACCATCATTTAGGAATTATTTTGTGCTAAAATGAAATCTTTGTGAATTTTGTGAAAGAACATAAATAAAGCTGAAGAGCTTAAGACCTTGTCCAGTAGGAGGTTGATCAGCCACAGCAACAGTCCCCTGGTCCACGGATATTGTGGCTACTGAATCTGAGGATGAGTGACATGGTGACATTGTGTCTTATAAAAGTTTAAATAGGTGTAGTGAAAAGACATCTGCTGCTAATGTATATTTTCACAAAAATCTCAGAGAACACAATAAAGTGAAGGCACCAAATCAAGCCAAACGCACCTTGTTCTCTTAATGGGTTCGTTATTTCAACATTTAGAATGACAGTAGCCTCCTCAGGCTCATGGCTACTGTCTGTTGCCTGTTCTGGATTCACTAGAAGAATACAAACACACACAAAAAATGTACTTTACGCAATTAGGTCAAAATGTGAAAGCTAAGGCAAAATAATACAAAATCCACAAGCCTCAGAGAAGCACAGTTGCCCTTACTATTTACAATCATTGAATGCTCAACACCATCTACCCCTAAATAATAATATATAAAAAAATACATAAAGTTTATAGTATATAAAAATAGTTTTACCTTCGACCATCATTTTAAAAATTTCATAAATGTTCTGCACACATCTCTGTGCACCTTTGCTCAACAATTCATCTTTAGGTAAGATCATTTTGGCCTTCTTGTGTGGATATTCCACCAGGAGCAAAGGCTTCCAGCCAACTGCGTGCAGCTTCTCTATCTAAAGATAAAAAACAAAACAAAAAACATTTAAAACATTTCAATTACAAGTGCTTTGGTGTGGCTGTGTATGGATCTTTGTCTGCTTATCACAATAGCACAAACCTGGGACACAAATGCATGTCAACAAGAAATATTTAGTGTAGAAGCAGACTTTTGGAACATCACAAGGAATAGCTGTATTCAAGATTTTGATCTTTAAGATGGTAAAACTGTTGAATAAATAGCTTCCATAAATATGTTAATGCATTATCTTGTCTCAGTCAAAACCAGAAAGTCTCCCCAGTACCCCAAAATAACTGGACTATGGTGACATAGAACAACAAAAGTTACTTACCAAAATGATGGCATCATCCCACAAATGTGAGGTCACCTGATTTTTTTTTGTGTTGGCAACCCATTTTTTTTTTTTTTGGTCGAATTTTTCAATCTTTTTGTTTAGGCGCACATTTTTAGGCTGTGGGGCCTTGCACATGGGGCACTTCTTGAAGCCATTAAAAATTTTATTTTTGCACGCTGGGCAGGTCTTCTTGAGCCCTCCACCTTTTGACATGTTTTGATGCTGTAAACCAGACAGGAGGCATAATGTCTGTCACAAACATGACTTCAACCAGGTTCAGTTATAATTAAGTTTTAGTAAGTTACTGGATTTACTCCAAACATCGAAATATCAGACTTTGATGACTAACTTATGGTTATGTTTGATGGACGCTTTTTTAGTAAGTAACAATAAAAAAACACAACTCAAAAACTACAAGATATAAAATACTACACTACTCCATAATACATTAATGTCTAGAACATCATACCTCAACAGCAACTACAACAAACAAAGAATATGTAATACCAATAGTTATTTGACATAGATATGGGTGTAAAGTTACAAAATATCTCACCCTGGCCTCACTGGGATCTTCAAAGACTGCTGGGTGGTTTTCCGACATGGTGCACAGATACAATAAAAAAATACAGACAATAGACAAACAGTACAAATATGAAGATGAGTGTGTGTGCGTGCGTGCGTGTGTGTTTGTGTGTGTGTGAGTGAGAGAGAGAGAGAGAGAGAGAGAGAGAGAGAGAGAGAGAGAGTGAGAGACTAGAGAGAAACAGAGTGAGAGAGAGATTGAAAGAGTGGCTCTTAAAAGTGCCTTTGTTTTCTTTATATAACTGAAATTAAGAAAGAGAAATGGAGATAAGATGTAAAACAGCAAATAATCTGTAGAACAGACAAGAAAGCATAATTAGATATATCTCTGAGAAAAAAAAATGCAATGCCTACATTAATGCGAGACACTAAAGGTGAATAGGGTAAAATTTTAAAAAATAAATGAATCTATTACCATGATCACCATGAACCTTCCTCAGTTGATTAATTACACAAGTATATAAAAACAATGTATTATAAGTTTTTGAAATTTGTATGTTTAATTATGCAAAATAGGAAATATCCCATTAAATATGCGCAATTTTGCATATATATTTTCGGTAACAAATCTGAACACATGATAAATCCATGTGGAAAATTATTTTTTCATTTAGTTTACACAAGATGGAAAAAGAATATCAGATGGATTTCAGGATAGGGCCTAACGTTAACGTTATATGCTTTCATCTCACTTTTCATCACAAAAAAAAAATAATAATAATAAAAAATAAACGATTTTCACTATATTTCTCTGGTGTGCATGGTGCTACAGAGGATGATATGTTGGTAACGTTACTGGAGTATGACAAAAAATAATAATTTTGAGAAAACGTCTTTTAAATATTTGTAAAAATACATAGGCCTACTTTTTTTTTTAGAGAAAAACAACTATTTACAGACACGATATCATGTCAAATATTTAGCAATCAACAATACAAGCGATCTAAAACGCATTAAAACTTATATTTCAACAGTTATATTTAGTAAATAAGTAGCAGGTCTGAGATACATACCGATTGGTAGAGGGGATCCTCGCAATGACGGAAAAACCGCGAAAGTGCCGTGGGGTCGCCGTCATGGCAACACGTCCGATTTAACATTAATTTATTATAAGTCTTTATCATTTTTTTTAGTTGTCTGTATATGCCTATCTGTCTATTGAGTAAAGTAAAGTAAAAAAAAAAAGAAAAGAAAAGAAAAGTAAATTAGTCCAAATATTATTGACACCAGGATGATGGATGGGGAGTTTGATTGATCGAGCCTGCCTCTATCCGTGTGTCCATCACGGATTCAGAATTTGACAATGTGGAAAACTGTTATACACAAAATGATCAGGGGGATAAGAAGTTCACAGTTTAATTAGACTAAATGCATCACAAACACGGACAACTTGAATAGCCTAGTGTCAAACTCAGCAATCGTCCAGTAAGGTGAAACAATCTGTGGCGACCACCGAATATTCCGTGGTACGGTCACGGAAGAAACCCGTGGTCCCATCACGGAAGAATCCGTGGTGCCATCACAGAATTTGTCAATAAGCAAAAGGCTATAACTGGTCAGGGGAGATAAAAAGTTCACCGTTTAATTAGACTAAATGCATCACAAACACGGACAACTTGAATAGCCTATAGTGTCAAACTCAGCAATCGTCCAGTAAATGTGAAACAATCTGTGGCGACCACCGAATATTCCGTCGTACGATCACGGAAGAAACCCGTGGCCCATCACGGAAGAATCCGTGGTGCCGTCACAGAATTTGTCAAAAAGCAAAAGCCTATAGAAACTGGTCAGGGGGGATAAGGAGTTCACAGTTTAATTAGACTACATGCATCACAAACACGGACAACTTGAATAGCCTAGTGTCAAACTCAGCAATCGTCCAGTAAAGGTGAAACAATCTGTGGCGACCACCGAATATTCCGTGGTACGGTCACGGAAGAAACCCGTGGTCCCATCACGGAAGAATCCGTGGTGCCATCACAGAATTTGTCAATAAGCAAAAGGCTATAACTGGTCAGGGGAGATAAAAAGTTCACAGTTTAATTAGACTACATGCATCACAAACACGGACAACTTGAATAGCCTAGTGTCAAACTCAGCAATCGTCCAGTAAAGGTGAAACAATCTGTGGCGACCACCGAATATTCCGTGGTACGGTCACGGAAGAAACCCGTGGGCCCATCACGGAAAAATCCGTGGTGCCGTCACAGAATTTGTCAAAAAGCAAAAGCCTATAGAAACTGGTCAGGGGGATAAGGAGTTCACAGTTTAATTAGACTATGCATCACAATCACGGACAACTGTAATTAGCCTAAAAAGTGTCAAAATCAGCAATAGGCAACCTCGTCCAGTGAAAGTGAAACAATCTGTGGCGACCACCGAATATTCCGTGGTACGTTCACGGAAGAAACCCGTGGTCCCATTACGGAAGAATCCGTGGTGCCATCACAGAATTTGTCAATAAGCAAAAGGCTATAACTGGTCAGGGGAGATAAAAAGTTCACAGTTTAATTAGACTACATGCATCACAAACCCAGACAGCTTGAATAGCCAACCTAAAGTATCAAAATTAGCAGCAATATCGTCCAGTTTAGGTGAAACGATCTGTGGCGACCACCGAATATTCCGTGGTGCGGTCACGGAATTCAGGGTGACCAGACGTTATCCTAGCGATCAAACGACGACAGAACAATGCAAAATCAAGTTAAAATGAAATATGTAAAGTAAAGTACTTTAAGTAAATTCAGAATATATCTTTCCAAATTATAAAACGACGTCGATTGGGGGAGCGCGCAGGTATTGTAAAAGCCCGTGTGTAGTCCACGGATGCTGCCTGTCATTGACTTACATAGGCATCAATTCCGTGGGCAAATCACGGATTTTTTTGCGAATCCGTGAAACTGCAACGGATTTTGAGTTAAGAGTCCGTGTTCATTTCACGGAATTCTGTGAGATCAGGTTGGGTAGATGGTATGCCATACGGAACTGTTGCCACTGAAACGCATTTCCGCGACAGAGGGGCTCGACAGCATTAGTCAAACGGGTCGGCGCGTATGGTTGGGTTGCGGAGAGTTTGGGTTGCGGAGAGTTTGTGAGATTGTGGTTTTTTAACATCTACTCTTGTGTAATGGAAATCATTATGAACATCAGCTATGCTAATTATTTCCCATCTGCCTTTCTGCTGTTATCTCGGGACGCTTGTCCCGAGAAAAATGGCGTTCGTCAGCTCCAGTAGCCTCTCACAGAGACTTCAGATGCCCCAATGCCTGTGAAGAGATGACTCACCGCCTGTGAAGAGACGACTCAGCGGCAAAGATGCGATATGTTATGCCCTTACATGTTTAACTAAATGTATTTTTTACATGTACTTTTCTGAAATGCACTTTCTGTAAAGCTGCTTTGAAACAATATGTATGTTGGCCAGAGGACAACTGGCCCCAACTGAGCCTGGGTTCTCCCAAGGTTTTTTTTCTCCATCCAATCACCTGATGGAGTTTTGGTTCCTTGCCACTGTTGCCTTGCTTTTGGCTCACTTAGTTGGGTACATTTAATGTTCAACAACATTATTGATCTGTGTTGTATTACTTTCATGTTATCACTGTGAAGCTGCTTTGATACAATCTGTATTGTAAAAAGCGCTATATAAATAAATGTGACTTGACTTGACATTTTGATGTTTCAATGGTAGGTCTTGTATAGCCAACCATCTGGTTTTCTTGATCAGTTAACCACAAATTTGAATATATACCAACATAGTTGACATTGTAAATCAATATAATGCAACATACTTAATCAATAAA